CCTTCGCTGCTTCTGAGATAGCTACATACTCTGCTTCAGTGGTTGAGAGAGAGACCCTTCCTTGAAGTTTAGACTTCCAACTGATAGCTGTACCACCCAATGTAAAAATATAACCTGTTGTGCTCTTTTTACTTAAGAGTAACAGCCCAAGCGCCACGATTCGATTGTGACTCGGCCCACCCGGCCTCTGCCACAGGACAATTGATGCTACCTGCAACAATCTCCCCCTCAGCAATTGTCCTACGAGGAATCCCACTTGGATTGTGACTTGGTCCATCTAGCCTACGCCACCGATTGTGACTTGGCCCACCTGGCCTGCGCCACGGGACAATTGTGCATCCTACAACAATCTCCCCCTTACCATTTGTTAGGATCGAGCGCTTACCACTAGGCCAAAAGCTATAGCCGTTAGTCAGAGCGCAACTCTTTTTACTTAAGAGTAACAGCCCAAGCGCCACGATTCGATTGTGACTCGGCCCACCCGGCCTCTGCCACAGGACAATTGATGCTACCTGCAACAAGTTACCCTCTCACTCCTAAGTCTGTCAGTACTTGGTTCATTCAATTTGGCAACTCACTCACTGATTTCTTCGATGACCAACAAACAATATATTGTCTTCAAATCTTCATATGATGTTGATTATGGCTTCATAAATAACTACACTTTTTAGTTAAAATTTTTTGAAAGACAATTTCTTTAACTTTGACATCTCCTACATTGTGGCCATTCGACTCCACAATGACAAATAAACTACTTATTTATCACAATCGAGTTGAGGGATAGTGAAAAAATAATTAAAAAAAAAAAAGAATCGTCACTAATATTTTAAAAGAATAAATTTGTTTGCACAACTAGATTTTTGAAACCAGAATTATTGGAAAAATTATTAAAAAGAGTGGGTATACAAAACTAAATTTTTGAGATTATAGTAGATTATGTGTAGGAAATGTGTTAAATCCTACAATATTCACGATAAAGATGGTTATATATAATTAATTGAATATATTATTTATATTTTAAAATATTTATCTTATTTTAATACAATAAAAAGAAAACATACCAAAATTTTGTTTTGTTCAATGAATGTATTTTACTTTAATGAAGACCTAATTTTATTATAATTATAAACAAAAATGATTATATTTGAATTTTAAGTCTTTAAGTTTAATTAATTTTATTTTAAATAAAATACTAGGATTTCTTAATTGTCATTATTAATATTTATATTTTGCAAAGTATAAATTTAACACAAAAAGTTGTATATCCAAATCAATCCATTAATACATTTTTTATTTTTAAATTATTATTATTATTATTATTTTAAATTTAATTTTAACAAATATTTATAATTATAGATATCTTATGAAAAAGAGTCTCTTATTATAATTATAATTATAATTACAGAAAGAGAGTTTTTTGTCCTTATGTATAATGAAGAATCATAATTACATAAATTTTTAAATAAAAATATTTGTAAATTAATAATTTTTTATTTAATATTTATTTTAATTTAATAAATAATACATTTAAAAAATTACGAATATTTATTAATTTAGTTATTTAGACATATCTATTCTTCGTACACAAAATTCTATTATAAAAAATAAAATTATTTTTTCTCTCTCGTTACTTATTCTCTTATTTCTCTCTCATGGTTCACTCCTTGATTTTCTTTTTCTTTGTTTGTCTTTTGTTCTTCTCTTTCTTCTTTTATTATATCTTCTTCTAATTAAAAATATTATATTAAAATTTGATAAAAACATGTTAAAATATTTTTTTTTAAATCAACATTGAAAGTAATAAAATATTTTTTTAAATTACTTCATTTGACTAATCATCATAATCCAACCGAATTATAATTAGATTAAGTTATTAGATACAAAAATAATAAATATTTGTCATTTTTTAATTAAATGAATAATTATTTATTATAATAAAATAATTTTAAATTAATTATAATCAAAAATTAAATTATTTAGTTTTAATGTTGATTTTTTTTAAAAATTACTTTAATATGTTTTTAATAATTTTTAATCTAATATTTTTAATTAGAAGAATAAGTCACAGAGAAGATAAGAACAAAAAATAATAAGAGGAAAAAAAAGAAAAAACACACTGAGTAAAGAAAGAGAGAAAAAAACATGGACAGTGAAGAGAGAGAAAAATAAAAAATAATAATAAGAAAAGAGAAGAATCATTCAAGTATGAATAATAAATAAATTTATATAAAACTTATGAATAATAAATAAATTTAATTAGATAAATAAATTTAATTAGATAAATAAATTTACCTAAAATTTATTTAAATAGTTTTTCTTTTAAAATATATTATTTATGACATTTATTCTGATTAGAAAACTTTAAGTTTGTAACATAATGTAGAAACCATTTTGATGGATTTTGTTTTATAAGTTTGTAACATTTGTAATGCAAATTACTCTTACATATAGACATTACTTGCTGATATGCTAAAATATTTTCTTGGAAAAATATGAAATATACAAGTTCTCTTCTATGTTCAATAAGAGAATAAGCTTTCTTCATAAAATTAACTACTTTTTTAAAGGTAAAATTAAAAACTTAACGAAGTAATTTATATTATATGAAAATCAGATAAAGTATTTTAATTGTCTAAATACAAATATTTATCATAATTATTATATAAAAAATATATTTTACCTTTAATATTATTTATTGTTAATAGATCAATTATATTGTCTTAAAAAAATTATATGACTATTTTTCTATTTAGGTTTTATCCATCCAAAAGTAGCATCTAAGGACATCACATGAAGTAGCAATTTAGAGAGACATGGTTTACATGGAGAGAAATCTCGAAGGAGAACTGAGATATTTTCTTCCAACATTTTAAGATATTTTCCTTTATTTCAACTTAATTAGGTTTGGATACAAATAAGTGTAGGTTAGTTGAAATGTATATGTTCATGGTAAGAGTCTATCTATAATTGTTGATTGATTGCATTATTCATGACATGTTTCTTCTATTCATTTTTTATTTTTATAAAGGAAGGTGATACGGAGAGTTGAATTTATACTCATGAGTTTCTCGTAGACTTTCAAGGAAGTTCGAAAAGATGGTAAACAGTCTAAATGGTTAGAATCATGTGTGACAAAATCTCCTAAAGAAGTGGAATATATCTTTATATCACTCCAAGCTTTATTTAGTATTTTATTATTATTTGATAATTTGGTTGAAATATTTTTGTTTGCAGACAAAGGAGTTTGGTCGTTATTATGTACATGTACGTCATGTTTTTCAACAAATTCATATTCAAAAGACCATTAGTCAATTTGTTGATGATACATCCATTTACATGATTCCCTTATTTATAGATAAACATAACATTTGATTTTAAAGGAAGATTTTGATACTAGATTTTCTTAAGCATTGCCTAAACCTGCATCGACCCATATATGAGAAGAAGAACTTATGAAATGGAAGCTACATGGACAAGTATATAATGATAGATATGTTGGACACCACTAGATTGTGTTGATAATCTCCTACATAAAAAAACAACATGTTATTCAACTTAAATATTGATTATCCACTAATAAGATGTGTAAAACCTTAATATTTTGATGTAAATAAAATATATAAGTAATATTTTACTATTAAAAAAATGTTAAAATTAATAATCAAAAAATTCAATCACTAATAATAATAATTGAACTAATGATTTTTTTATATATTTAGTGACTAAAATTTTAATCATAAAATAAATAATTTTTAAATTGATAACTATTTTTATTTTATATAAATCTTTATTAAAAATATTTTAATAATATATTAAATATAAATCTACTTAATAACTTAAAATAATTTTTAATATTTTTAATAACATTATAAATATTTTAAAAAATAGTTTAATAATTTATTAGACATATTAAATAATTTAGTAATACAATTATGTGATTTTATTTTTTAATTTAATATATGAATAAAATAAAATAAAATTAATAATTAAATTGATCCTAAGTTACTTATTCGATTAATAAATAAATTATTTATTTAGTTATATATATATATATATATATATATATATATATATATATATATGATTTGTATGTTAATAAAAATTTATTTTAATATATTTATAAAAAAATTAAAATTATTTTAATTATTGAATTAATATTTTAAATTTATATTTAAAATATTTTAAAATTAAATTTATAATAATAATTACATAAAATTATAAAATTAATAAAATTTAAATTACTGGTAAATTTTTTAATTATTAAACTAAAATTTGATAATATTAATAAATAATAAATAAAAAATAAATAAATGTATATATATATAACTTTAATTATTTTAATTAAAATTAATTTCATGAAAAAATAATATTTGAAAATATGAACAAAATAATAAAAAAATATATTTAAAAGATAAAACGAAAAATTTCCTTTTTCTTCTTAATATTTTGCTTTTTAAAAAAATAAAAATAAAAAAACTATAAAATTTTATTTTTTCAAAATAATAAGTATATATATATATATATATATATATATATATATATATATATATATATAGTTAAAAAATAAAAAAACAATCCATTACATTTTACTCTAATTTTCTTCACCGTCTCCCAGCCCTATCGTTTCCTCCTCATCCATGCAACTCTCTCATTCACCTCACGTACTCTGTTTCTCCCCCGCAACCGAGTCTAACCACTACACCACCGCAACCTGCAACCTCTACCCATACCCGTGTCTTCTCCCTCACTGTCATCCCTCTTCTCATCTCAGTTCTCATGTCTTGTCTCTCAAAACTCAAAACAAAAACCTCACATCTCTGTACTTTTCTGTGATTCACTTATAGAAACACAAAAGAGCAGAGCAAATGTTACGGTCCTTTACAAGAATCGCAGCGACCCATCATTCATGACATCACAAGTACGCTCCTTTCTCATCTCTCAACCACTCTTCTAGGACCCCATAGCCCATACCTCCTCCGCCGTTGCTGCCCCACTCTACGATGAACAAGAACGTATCCGAAAACTCGCCGCCGATGACAAGAACCCTTCACTTGATGTGGGGCCTAATGGTCATCCTCTATTCACCTCGGCACCTTCCCTCTCCCGCAACGATGCCCGCACCTACTTCAAGCTCACGTATTGTTCCCACTAACCTCGTTTTTCGTTGTGGCATTCTGTCGAACAGTATGTCGAATGGGGTCTGTCGAATGGTGGTTAGTGGTTCTGATGGTTTAGTTTTAAAAAATTTTGAGGTACACTGCTCTTCGATGCCTTAGATATGAAAATACTTTGCAGTGGCTTTTAGGCATCTTCTTATTTAATTTATTTGTTATTTAAAACCAGGTCCCCACAGGTTGGAAGTTCTTTGGTAATTTAATGGATGTTGGATTATGTTGTGGTGAAGAAAGTTTTGGGACTGGTATGTATTTGGTCAAGCTACAGTCCTCTCTTTCAGAAATTAATGAGTACGTTAATCGTGTCGTTGCTGCCGTGAGTGGCGTCCTCGGAGCAGCACCATCCCCCATCCCCTGATCGAAGGTGAGGCCGCGAGCCAGCCTCCCTCTCTTGATTTTAGTTTCCACAAAAGTTAAGTGTATTAGTTGATTTTAGTTTATGAGAGATGTACAACCTTGCACCATAGTAGTAAGCAAGTATCAAATTTTCATCTTCCAAATTTCATACCTATTTGCTGACATAACTCCAATGTGCTTTTCAAGTTAGACAAGAAAAATGCATACATTTTATTTCAAGTTTTTTAATACTCTCATTTGTCTTTGGAAAATAAAGAAAACAGCAACTGGTTTTTTAATAGTCCAACAAACAACATGAGTTCAATTATTCAATATTCAAGGGTTTTATATTGTCTATTCTAAAAATATAGTGCATTGTTTCTAATCATGTTATGTGTCATAGTAAATAGTGTCAACCACAACAGTGGAAGGAATCTTCTTATCATGGCTAACCTCAGAATGAGTTGTACTGCATGTGAGACTGAGAAATAGTATCACAAGGAACCAAAACAAAAAAAGTAGAGTAACTAGTATTTTGCTGTCCACTGCAAGCTCCCTTCTCTAGCTTGGTTTATTCTATTATCCTTTTTGGTTCGTTTCTCATTATGCTTACAATGGATTTCTTTTCCTGGTAATTTTTACTGCACAAATCTTATTAAAAGATAGGAAAAAGAAAAATGAGACTTCATGTTTTGGTTTTTTGTCTTAGGGTTTTGCAATTTTTTGTAAAAGGAAGTGTTTTCCACCTTATCTCAAGCACTTGTCTTCCTTGCTTTGTTTTTCGTGTGTTTGTCTCCTACATGAATGGTGGATAATTTGTACTGTGCTATGGATCATTTTTATTAATGATTTAACTTGTTTGTAGGAGTATAATAAAATGACTGAACAACTAGGGGTGCTAAAAATCATTGTTGTGCAAGGGAAAAGGTTGGTGATCCGAGATTTCAAGAATAGTGATCCTTATGTTGTGCTCAAACTAGGGAACCAGGTAAATAGAATTGACATGTCAATTTCATTTTTAGTTTTTTTCTGTTGACATTAACTTTGTGGAACTTATTTAACCTCGAAATGCTTTTGAACTATATCAGACTGCAAAGACCAAGGTAATTAATAGCTGCTTGAATCCTGTTGGAATGAAGAACTAAATTTCACTCTGACAGAACCCCTGGGTGTTCTGAATTTGGTGAGTTTCAAATATCTAGTATGCCCCTTCGTTCTTGATTTCTTCCATCTCTAGTTTATCCAGTCCTTTTTGAAAGGAAGATACTCTTCTTTAGTGCTTATGAAATAGATTGGTGATTTTTCTGGTGATATTTTTAATAGAATAAATTGTGTTTTAGGTCCTTTAGATTTTGGTTAGTATTGGTTTTAGTTCTATACTTTATAAACAATGATTTTTGTTTCTCTTATTTTTATAATTGGTTAATTTTGTCCCTCATTCTAGCATAGTGTTTCATGTAAAGGGTTGAAGTCAACCATGAGAACCAAAACTAAAATCAATGTTGACAAAAAAAATAAGAATCTTGTTGTAACCTTGAGAGTGAACACAATTGTGTTAGCATGACCTGTTTTGATATGAATTCAAGCTACAACGTGTGAGTAACTTGTGAGGCAGATATGCATGTGAGTATTTTACTATTATAATAAGTTGTTTAGGGATTTTAAGATGATGGGTTATGTACCATACTTAGGAGATAAGCATGTTTGAGAAAAATGAGTGGAAGTAATAGATTTTGTGAAAATGACACTTGTTCACATTCACTTAATTTACTTAATATATGATGAGATAAATTTACGGTTTAATTTACTTAATATATGATGAGATAAATTTACGATTTATATAGAATATGATTAAGAGAACGTGTTAGAATAATAGTTCATTATGTTGATTAATTGAGTATATATATATATATATATATATATATATATATATATATATAATTAATATCTTTAAATATAAAAATGAAATAATGAAATAAGTAAATTTTAAGAAGAAAATAATTAATAGTAAAGAATTATAAAATATTGTAATTTTAACAAAGTTATGCTCTCATGTGCACTAGTTATTGTTAGCCTAGTATATAATTAAAATAGTTTTTATAGTTTTACTAAGATATGCATTTATTTATTCTTTTTTATTGAATGTTGTACTAACCATATATGAGTTTTCAGGGATAAAAAAAGAAGATAATGTGATATAGTGAAGACGGAGAAGAAAAATTGATTTTATCATTAATTTTATTTTGCACAAGTAGTTTGGCCAAACAATAAACTGGAGAAGATAGATTTGTAATCTTTTAAAATATAAATTGAATATTTGTTGTATTTATGTAATTTTATTTTAATATATTTTTTATGTTTATTTTGAATTTTTAATATATAAAAGTCTAGTTATCATGTGGAGAATTGTCTAATTTACCATATATATATATATATATATATATATATATATATTAATATAATATAATAACAGGTTTATAAAAAAGAAAATTTTAGTGACTAAATATAGTGATATTTTATTTTAAAATTAATTATTAATTTGATCACTGATTTGAGTTGTTGATTCGATTCATTGAATCGGTCATCGAAATCAACGACCAAAAAAAGTGTGATCAATTCAAGTTGATTACTATTTCAGATCATCTGTTTTTATTAATGACCGATTTTGGTCATTTAGTGAGTAAATTTTCAGCCATTATTTAGTGTTTTTCTTGTAGTGTTTTAAGAATCATGTTTTATTATTAAAAAATATGTATTGTTATGTCACTAGTATGTTAGAGAAATTAAATGTAATCCTTCAACTTTTTCTTATTTTGCTTCTACTACTAGGAATTTTTTTTTCTCTTTTTTTCATTTATATTTTAACCACTTATTTGCTTTGTTACTGAAGAAAAAATTTATAAATTATTTGGAAGAGAATTTAAAAAAAAGGCTAAAAAGCTTTTCTTTTTAAAAAAATTGATCTCTAGCACAACCTTAAAAGCTAAAAAAACAAAACTAAATTAAAAAAAAAACATGTCTTTAAGTTTCCCTTTAATTCTAGAAAAAAAAAGAAAATTTTATTTTATTAATTAAATTAGAAAAATATAGTTTTTTATTAAAAAAACATTTAATTAATTTAAATTATTCATATTATATGTGCAAATAAAAAATAATAAAAAAGGAAAAATTTATATATTCTCATTAGTTATGTTACTAATAATCCTGTCACCCCTTCTTATATAATCACGTGAAGAAAATAGAAGTTGATATGCATTTTCACTTATACATATATGTTACAATTTAATTATGAGTTGAAGTCTCATATTTGATAAAAATGATAGGGTTGAATAATATATAAATAAGAAAGATTAACAATATTATATCTTTTTTTTTTTAATGCAATCACTTATTCTCTTATATGGTTAATTTATGCCCATTTATAAATATCTCCTTGTATGTAACCTCCCTCTCAAAAATCAAATAATGATATCAAAGTCAATGATTTACTCAATGACTGACTTAATTGAGTACAAAGTAAAAGTCATTGTTTGGTAAAGTATGTCCTATTGATATGAACAATTGTACTAGCAAGAGTCCTTAGCAAGGGTCACCATTGAGATACTTGTGATTAAGAAATGTTTTTGTTTGAGGGAGAGAGTGTTCCTATGTACAAGGAATCACACTTAAGAGAAAATGTTAGAATTCAAGTATGAGTTGAAATCTAACATTTGGTAAAAATGAAGTTAAATAACATATAAGTAAGAAATGTCCACAAATCTAATGTCTTTAAGGTTTTTTTGTTGAATATGATGTTATATTATTTTATATAGCTAATTTATGCCCATTTATGAATATCTCCTCTCTAAAAAAATAATCCAACAAAGACTTACATTTTGAATTGTGAACTAGTAAGACACTTAGTATAAGACACTTGCATATTTGGGATTGTCAAGTAGAGATAAGGGTTTATAATCTACAAGAAAAGAAATTGAATGCAAGAACATTCAGTGAATACTTCATTGGTTACCTAAAAAAATCAAAGGGTTGTATAAGTTTTATTAATTTAATCATAGTACAAGGATGATTAAAACTGAAAATGCAAGGTTTATTAAAACTTGTGAAATTAATGGGAGTTCAATTTCACAAGTGAAAATTAAAGAAGTTAGAATGAAAGTTCCTTTAACTTATGTCTTTAGCAATAAAGTAAGTATTCATTTAATTGTCGTGTCGAACAAAAATGAAGAAGAGCAACACATTGATGAACATATGATTCAAAATGAACCTACCGTGAAAGAATCACAAAAAGTAACATTTGGGACGTCTTAGAGAAAAAAAAAAGATCAACTATTTGGAATGATTATATGATATACCTACATGAGTCAGAAACAAACTTAAACATTAATGATGATGATCAAGTTACAATTTTATAAGTTATAAGTTATGATCATTCTAAGAAATAGCTAAATGTCATGAGAAAAGAGTTAAAGCCTATGGAACAAAATTATTTTTGGGATTGGAAGAATTGTCAAAAAGTTGCAAGAGAGTTGGTTGTAAGTGGATCTTTATAACTAAACGTGATTTTTATGGTCAAACTTGTTGTTAGGGATTTTGCTCAAAAATATGACATTGGTTATTGTTGAAAGTCTCACATCGTCTACCTCATGTCATTTGGTATGATTTAAATACATGTTAGGTTACTCCCCATATGGCCAATTGATTTTATGTTGGAACTTTAACATGGTATCAGAGTCAAAGCCTAACATTTTTCCGATTATTGTCATGGCCCAAAAGTTGTCATTTAGTTGGGTCAAAAGTACCTTTTGCCTAGTCCGGCAAGCTTCGTTGGAGGGGGCGTGTTGAAAGTCTCACATTGCCTACCTCATGTCATTTGGTATGATTTAAATACATGTTAGGCTACTCCATATATTGTCAATTGGTTTTATGTTGGAACCTTAACACACTAGTGGAAAAATAGCATTCTATGACGAGTTTTTATCACGGTCGTAGTCCACCCGTCATAGTATGTAGCACGGTGGCAATTTTGTAATAAAATCATAAACTTTCTATGTCGGGTAAATTTTAACCGACATAGTAAGTGGAAAGTTCACTTTCTATGTCGGGTAAAACTTAACCGACATGAAAAGTTCACTTTCTATGTCGGTTAAAATTTACCCGACATAGAAAGTGAACTTTCTATGTCGGTTAAGTTTTACCCGACATAGAAAGTGAACTTTCTATGTCGGTTAAATTTTAACCGACATAGAAAGTGTATTTGATGACGGGTGTGAGAGCAACCGACATAATATCCTCTGTTTTACACCTGCCGCGACACTCCATTTCTCACTTCACCCATAGCAGAGCTCCCCGTTCTCTCTGTATCTTCTACGAACGTCTTCGCCTTTGTACGTTTCTCCCCACCCAGCTCTGCTCGTCATGCCACCTGCCAACTCTGTATGTCGTGCCGCCTGCTGCTACTGTCGTTGGTGCCCGTCGCCTGTGTACGTTTCTCCCCACCCAGCTCTGCACATCACGCCACCTGCCACCTCTGTAGGTCTTCAAGAGGTAAGTTTTCGTGCTTGCTTTAGCCATTGTAGGTTTACATTTTTGAATCTGGTATGTAATAATGTTGTCAAGAGATGGAAGTTCACGGGTGCCTTTAGCTAATTTAGAGACGTATTGTAAGTAGTTTAGTCATTTGAATGTGTTTCTGTAGGCATTCTTTCGTGATTTTGATTTTGAAAATTAGATTTGTATTATAATGTAGTTATTTCATTTTAAGCAAAAACTATCATCGCTTATGCTCACCCTAATGTGAGACAATACGGTTAGCCTTGATTGGAGTCAGTCATGAAATGATCCATTGTAGGACAGAACTTCCTATTGAAAGATTAAAATATCCAATCACGTGACATCGCAATTTCAGCAGAACATGTTGGATGTTATCATCCTCAAACTATACTTATATGTTGTGTTATGTAACAGAAGGTAACAATGGATCGGAGTTGGATCAATTATAGACGAACAACAAATGAATATGAGAGTGGAGTAGAACAATTCCTTGAATTTGCTAAGATGAATGTTCCGGATAATGATGGAAGATTCTATTGCCCTTGTGTTAACTGCTTGAATGAGCGAAGATTACCGACTGAAGTTATTCGGGAAC